CTTCTTTTTCATTTCATTTGAAATCTTGTGATTTCATTTGAAATCTTATATGTCAAACAGATAAGAATAGAGATGCTGGGTTGAAAGGTGGGGGCCCAGAGTGCCTCCTGACAGCCCCTACCATGCTCCCTGGATTCAGAAAGTTCGTAGAACTGGAATCTCACCTGTTCAACCCACACCTAACTCACAGCGTGACCTTGGGCAAGTTCTCTCATCTTTCTGAACCCCACTTTCTCCATCTACCAAGATGGGGGAGCAGGTGGGAGGTGGGAAGACTGTCCCAAAATAATCTCTAACATCCCTTCCAGTATCCCTCTTCTTCTTCTTTTTGAGATAAAGTCTCACTGTATTGCCCAGGCTGGAGTGCAGTGACACGATCTCAGCTCACTGCAACCTCTACCTCCCAGGTTCAAGCGATTCTCTGCCTCAGCCTCCTGAGTAGCTGGGATTACAGATGCATGCCGCCATGCCTGGCAAATTTTTGTATTTTAGTAGAGACGGGATTTCACCATGTTGGCCAGGCTGGTCTCGAACTCCTGACCTCAGGTGCTTCGCCCACCTCAGCCTCCCAAAGTGCTGGGATTACAGGTGTGAGCCACTGCACCCAACCAAAGTCTAGTTTTCAAAATATCAAATACCCAGTTTTAATAGAAATACAATGTGAGAACATGTCAGTGTCTTCCTATAGGTTGTTAATGCTAAAACCAGCTAGCTGACAAAGTTAGTTCAAGGATATGAAAAAATATGTATACCTATATGTGGAGAGAGAGTTAGTTGAAACAACAAAATTTCCGGAACATTCGTAAGATTGCTAAATTAGATACAAAACTGGTTAATGTTCCATGGGGCAATACGATCATGATGTGGGGCATATCTTCTCTATTGAAAGAAATCATTTGCATCTCTACCAGACGAAAATAATTTGCAACTTATCAGTTTTCTACCAGTTAACGGCTATCTTTACCGAATCTGGGCTCTAATCAATAGCAAATAATAAGTCAAGCCAAGCGACATGCCCCTAGAGTGTCAGATGACCCTTAGGAGGGCTTGTTAGATACAGCTCTAGTTTGACTTTGAAAGGACACTGGTTATCTATCTGCCTTATTTCCAAGTGTTGGATGATTTTACTTATCAGGCTGTTGCAAGAGTATAAACACTTCACAAAAAATAAAAGGCATCGATAGTAATGCACATATCATTAGTGTGAGAAGTAGAAGGGCCAGCAACAGCCCTGTGGATGTCACAACAGGACACATTCAGGCAGACAGGAAGGGCGTGTTCTTCCATTTCTTCGGAGCCCAGACTCCTAGAAGGGAGGTGGGAGGTGTGGGGAAGAGAGGAAATTCCTAGCCATGCTTGCACTGTCACAGTGAGGTTCACAGTGAGCGGGGTCACGGGTCAAATCAATAACCAAAAAATAATTTTTAAATGACTCGAATTATTTATGGCGAGGCACATCTCATTTAAGGGTTGGGTTGCAAAATTGGCATACGAGGCAAACATTGTAAATAGCGAGTATGACCATTGGAAAAATATCTTCAGACAGCACCACATGAAAGACTGTCTTTTTCACAATAGTCTTTTTTTTTTTTTTTTTTTTTTGAGACAGAGTTTCACTCTTGTTGCCCAAGCTGGAGTGCAATGGCACAATCTTGGCTCACTGCAACCTCTGCCTCCCTGGTTCAAGCAATTCTCCTGCCTCAGCCTCCTGAGCTCCCAAGTAGCTGGGATTGCAGGTGTGCACCACTATACCCAGCTAGTTTTGTTTTGTTTTTAATAGAAACAGGGTTGCACCATGTTAGCCAGGCTAGTCTCGAACTCCTGACCTCAAATGATCCACCCGCCTCGGCCTCCCAAAGTGCAGGGATTATAAGTGTAAGCCACCACGCCTGGTCCACAATAGTCTTATGCTGTCCAAAGATATTTTTCCAATAGTAATACTCACCATTTCCAGCGTTTGCCTCGTGTGCCAATTTTGCAACCCAAACTTTAAATGAGATGTGACTCTGCCATAAAGAATTTGAGTCCTTTTGGCTGTGACAGAACAGATTTCCTGTTCTTCAGTTGAGTATCAGTTGGTTAAGGTTAACCAACCCCCACCCCCATCACTCACACATAAAGGAATTGAATCTTCGGAGACTGAGCCACCCTTGGAGGGAGGTGTTTAGACCATGAGGGGTTCACAAGAGCTGAGGCAGACTTGGGGATAGCAGACCTCTCCCATCCATGGTTCCTCCAGTAATAGGCTCCTGGGAAACAGTATTCCCGGGCCGGGTGTGGTGGCTCATGCCTGAAATCCCAGAATTTTGGGAGGCCAAGGAGGACAGATCACCTGAGGTTGCGAATTCAAGACCAGCCTGACCAACATGGAGACACCCCGTCTCTACTAAAAATACAAAATTAGCCGGGCATGGTGTCGCATGCCTGTAATTCCAGCTACTAGGGAGGCTGAGGCAGGAGAATCTCTTGAACTAGGGAGGCAGAGGTTGTAGTAAGCCAAGATTGCACCATTGCACTCCAGCCTGGGCAACAAGAGCAAAACTCCATCTCAAAAAAAAAAAAAGAAGAAGAAGACAATACCCCCTGCCTCACTTAAATTGCAATTTCTAGTTGTTTCTCTGAGTCCTATTAGGCAAAGTGCAGATAGTCAAGTGTGTATATAATGTGACTCTTGTATATTTCTTTTAAAAAATGGAGGCATAATTTGCACAGAATAAAATGCGCACATCTGGAGCGCACTGCTCGGTGGCTTACACCTGCATGCACAGGCCCTCTACCACCACTCGGATCAGAGTGCAGAGTATCCATCTCCCCAGCAAGGTGCCTGTGCCCTCCAAGTCAACAGCGCTCCCCTCCACCCCCGTAGTAACCGACGCTCTGCTCTCTCTCACCGTTGGTGCCTTCTGCCAGTTCTTGAACTTCATGGCAATGGAATCATGCAGCCTGTGCCCTTTTGAGTCTGGCTTCTGTTGATGAGCATGCTGGTGGGATGTATCTGTTACCGTGTGTGTCAGTTCCCATGGTATTGTTGGGGGCTATTCCATTGTATGCTTACACAGTATCACACTTCGTTCATCCCTTCTGTTGGTGTGGAGTTTGGGCTACGATGAATAAAGCTGCTAAGAATATTCTTGTGCAAGCCCTCCGCCCCACCCAGCACGTTTTGACACCAAGAAGGAGGCATAGAGTTCACACTACTGCTCCTTGCTCTCTTCCACCCACTCCCTCAGATCTCTGTCTTCATCTTCCTGTCCATTCCAAAAAAATCTCCTGGCCCCTCTGCCCAGAGCCACTGTTCCTCCTTCTCCCTCACTCCTCCTGCTCTCTGTTCTTGATTATGGAAATTGTCTTAGTCTCACCTTTCTTGCAAAATTCTCCTCCTGGGCCTTTTGGGGTCTATCCTTGCATTCTCTGTCCCCACCGCACAATAAGATCAGGGTCTTTGAGCAAGTCGTTGGGGGGTGGCATTTGGAATTGGGGAGGGAGCTTTTCTGTGAGAGCCTGCCACTCATCGTCTGTGCACACTCTCTACTCTTCACTTTTCTTGGCAGATAAAAGCGCTTCTTGGGATTACTTTATAAAACGCAGAAGAGATTGTGAACAACAAACCATTTGTTGTGGAAACGGAGGCAGCGTGGGTTCGAATTCAGTGTCTGTCTCCTTTTTGCTGCTTGATGTTTCACGAGTGACCTCCTGTGTCTGGGGCTCTAGCACCTCGCCTACAAAAAGGGATGATGACCTCAAACTATGTGAGGCTTCTAGGCAGCGGTGCGGCTGGTCTCTGTCACACAGTAGGCACTTAGCAAAATGTCTTACCTCTTCCTGCTCTCACCAGGCACTCAGAGGGCCAGTGCCTGAAAGGAAATGTAAAAAAAAAAAAAAAAAAAGACAAAATAAGATAAAAAAGGCCAGGCGCGGTGGCTCACATTTATAATCCCAGCACTGTGGGAGGCCGAGGTGGGTGGATCACGAGGTCAAGAGATCAAGACCATCCTGGTCAACATGGCAAAACCCCGTCTCTACTAAAAAAAATATATATATATAAAAAATTAGCTGGGCATGGTGGCACATGCCTGTAATCCCAGCTACTCAGGAGGCTGAGGCAGGAGAATTGCCTGAACCCAGGAGGCGGAGGTTGCGGTGAGCCGAGATCGCCCCATTGTACTCCAGCCTGGGTAACAAGAGCGAAACTCCATCTCAAAAATAATAATAATAATAATAATAATAAGACAAAAAAGATTTCTTTGGGGGAGGGTGAGGAAAAATAGGAAGAAATAAAGCTCCCCTAACTGGAAGCCAGCACCCTGAATGACCATGAGGAAGGCAGCCAAGCCTGGAGAACTGGACGGAGCTGCTCTGGAGAAGTTCCCGACAGGCGAATATAGTTGGAGGCCACCAGGCAGGTAAGACGTAAAAAGATTAAGAGGATTAAGAGAGTTTGGAAGACAAACAGATTGAGCTATGAGAGCCAACAAGGAGGTATTGTCCGACCTACCCTCTGCGGGAAGACTGAGCTCGTTCGGAAAAAACCAGACCGTAGGCTAGAGGAAATTCCTTAAGTTCAGGCTTTATTGAGAGGAAAGAGCCTCCGGGCAGGCCAGCCGGGACGAAAAGGAAAAATGGCCGTGCTGCTCAGAGGGGCAGGGTTGTTTTATAGGGGGCTGAAGGGCTGGGGGGTGGGGAAGCCAAAAGCCGAGGTGGTGGGCAACTGTTGGTCAGTTTGAACTGCTGGGTGGGAAGCTGGGCGGCGGGAAGCTGGGCGGCGGGAGGGCTAGGACCGGTATGTAAAGTGAGAGATAAGGGAGCCTCTTTGTGGGGGAGGGAAAGAGAGAGAGAGAGACAGCGTTTGCGGTAGGGGCAGAGTTTTCCAAACATTCCCGACTCCTTAAAGAAAAGAAAAAGAGGGGGTCAGGGGCGTCGGTTGTCTCTCTGGCTACTTCCTGCTGACAAGGGTCGACGGGGGGTTCTGAAGAGGTTTCTTTTCCTAAGGAGCCTGGAGGTTTGGGGAGAGGTCTGTTTCTTGCACTCGTTCAGGGTGGGGTTGGAGCAGCATCTGGTGGATGGTGACTCCAGTCAGTTCTTGAAAGAGCCGCTGTAGGAACTGGAGAAAGCAAGGAGCAATAAGTAAGATTAGGCAAACGGCTATTAGGGGCCCAAGCAATGGTGACAAGAGGGTATACATAGAGGAAGACCACCACGCTGTGGCTTCAGCCGAGAACTTCTGACTCTAGAGGTTAGTTTCGAGTTTCTGGAGGCTCTCGATTCGGGTTTCTACTAGGCCGGATTCACAGATGTAGTAACAGCACTCTTCTTGTAGGAAGATACAGGTCCCTCCTCGTTCAGCAGTGAGCAGGTCTAGGGCTCTTCAGTTCTGTAAGGCAACTTGGGCAACTGAGGTGATCTGTCGTTGGAGTGATGCTAAAGACTCAGTAGAGTCATCAATAGCTGCTTGGAATTGCGAGGTCAGTCGGGCTATAGCCAGGTGAGAGTGGACTAGTGCCCCTCCTCCTAATCCTGCTGCAAGTGCTGAACCAGCAAGGGAGACTCCAACGGCAATGGGTAGGAAGGCAGCTCATCGGGTGCAGCGATGGGGAGTTTGCAGCATCTGGAATTCGGCTGGGGAATATATAGTGAGTCAAGGGACTAGGGTTACCGGGAGGCATAAAAGAGATGAGGAAAGGCCAATGTAGAGAGTTTTTGTTAAGGTCTTGTTACACCCGAAAAACGTTCCTCGTGGGGCTGTTATATTAGTGGTTACCCGTATAGTTCTGTTACAGCTAGGGACGTTTCGGCCTAGGGAATGTGGGGTTTGGTAGGGGATACTTGGGGTCCCATCGATTCCCATGACTAAGACCTGGGAAGGGGTGAGATGGCCAGAATAAGAAGGAAGTGAGGAGTAGGTAGCCCCCATGTCTTGTGACCCTAGGCTCGGCGAGGGTAACCGGAGTCGGAAAGCCAGGGCCCCGCTAGTCATCTAGCAGCCCTAGTAGACTGGGGAACGGAGCTCCCTCGGAGGTCGGCTCCTGGCAAGCAGGCTCCTCCCTACTGAGGGCGACCGCCGGCTGCGTAACGCCAGTGTGTCTGTTTTGAGGAACCGGCACCCTGGGGAAGCTGGGGCAGTCTGACTTCCAGTGTCCCGGGAGCCGACAGATAGGGCAAGGCTTAGTTGGTGGCCATGGTTGTGGACAGGCTCGGGACCAGTGTCCTTCCTTTCCACATTTGAAACATGCCCCTGGAGGGGCATGGGTTTCGGCCTTGGGCTTCTGGTTCCCTGCCGGCCTTAGAGCCGCCACTAGGGCTTGGGTCTGGAGGGCAGCCTTCTGCTTCATGCGAGTTTGGCAGGCAGCCTCAGCCGCATCTTCCCTGGCATTGAATACTTTAAAGGCCATTTTTACCAGGTCTTGGATGGGAGTCTCTGGCCCCTCTTCTGCTTTCTTTAGTTTCTTTCTTATGTCGGGTGCTGATTGGGAGATAAAATGGGAGGCTAATACAGTGGCCCCATTTTGGGAGGCTGGGTCTAGTCGAGTATACCGGACTAGGGCTTCTTATGCTTGAGTGAGGTATTGGAATTCTTTAATATAGGTGGACGGGTCGGCTGAGAAGGATCCTAAACGTTTCTCAATTTGGGACAGGTCTTGGAGTGAGAAAGGAACATGGACCCTGATTAAACCTTCTGCGCCTGCTACTTCTCGGAGTGGGGCCAGGATAGTTGGTTGGTGGGGGCGGGTGTGGGCCGCCACCGGAGAGGCAAGAGGAAGTGCGGCCTCTGAGGGAGGGGGCTCGGAGGGAGTAGAGGGAGAGCAAGGCATGGCCTCTGAGGTAGGAGGTGCAGAGGGAGTGGGGGAAGGGCGTGCCGTTGATGGCGACTGGTTGCTGAGATTGGCAGGAGAGGACAGATGTTCAGGCAGATCCTCCGGTGAGGAGTAGGGAGGGGGAGAGGTAGTGGAGGAAGATTTACAGGGGGTTTGAGATAAGAGGATTTGGTAGGTGGAGCAGGAAGAACATAGGTCGGGGTGGGTACGGAGGTCCCAAAAAGCCTGGACGTAAGGAATTTCATTGTCCTTGCCTGTGCGGCGACAAAAATCGTCGAGATCTCGGAGGGTGTTGAAATCAAAAGTGCCAGTCGGGGGCCAATGTGACTGGTTACTGAGTTTGTATTGGGGCCAAGCCACGTGGGACAGGAAAATAAGCTTTTTCTTTCTGAGGGTTTGGGAATATCCCAATTTGGTAAAATTTCGCAGCAAGCACCCGAGGGGGGTGCTCAGAGGTATTTTGGACTCCGAATTTCCCATGGCAGGCGCAGCTACAGACCCTCCGGCGCGGATGGGCAGATGCAACGAAAAGGCGTCCCCGTTCGTTGCAAATTCCCCGGAGTACAATTAAGTACGGAAAGGGAAGCGGTCAGAGGGGCGTCCCCCGTCTGGCAGCTGTCCCTCGGAAGGCTCCTGGAGCGGGAATGGAAGACTACCTTGGCTCGGCCGAGACTAGGCAAGGAGTCCGTGCGGAACGCCGGAGAGGGAGCAACTGCACCATGCCGTAGGAAGAGGAGACGGGAAGCGGGGGAAGGCAAAGCAAGAAAAAACTTGGCTTACCTTAATCGGAACGTGGAGGTGGCAGGGCCAGTGTTGGGTAGGTCGGGGAGGGGGGCCGTGGCCGGGCCAACGGCCCCAGCTCCCGTCCCGGGTTTCCGGCACCATTTGTCCGACCTACCCTCTGCGGGAAGACTGGGCTCATTGGGAAAGAAACCGGACCGCAGGCTAGAGGAAATTCCTTAAGTTCAGGCTTTATTGGGAGGAAAGAGCCTCCGGGCAGGCCAGCCGGGACGAAAAGGAAAAATGGCCGTGCTGCTCAGAGGGGCAGGGTTGTTTTATAGGGGGCTGAAGGGCTGGGGGGTGGGGAAGCCAAAAGCCGAGGTGGTGGCAACTGTTGGTCAGTTTGAACTGCTGGGTGGGAAGCTGGGCGGCGGGAAGCTGGGCGGCGGGAGGGCTAGGACCGGTATGTAAAGTGAGAGATAAGGGAGCCTCTTTGTGGGGGAGGGAAAGAGAGAGAGAGAGAGAGCGTTTGCGGTGGGGGCAGAGTTTTCCAAACAGGTATTACCTCCACCTTGTGAGGGCTGGGCCCGACATCCAGGTTGCTGGAACATGCTAGCTTCCAAGGAGCTCACATAGGCATGAGGGTCACAAGACAGTGGCCAGAGAGAGCCTGGAGGAGAAAGGATCCCCCTCATCTCCCCATCACAGGACCTGAAATTCCTCCTGTAGCCATTCTTTCCACGGGGTAAGCGCTGTCCTCTCTGGGATGTTTTGAAGCTGATGCTGCACCGCAGTGTGTTTGCAAGATGTTAACAGGCTCTTCCTTGTGAGCCCTACTGAATGCTGGACTTCGTACTGGGTGCTTAATACACGACCTCACTTCATCATCAGAATCCCTGGGGAGGTGGCACGCTCTCTACAACCTCAGGCTTGGGTGGGGCCTCTGCATTTGAAACAAGTGCCCTGGGTGAGCTGAGGCTGGCAGCCCAGCCCCTTTCTGGGGGCTCTGACAGTGACTAAGGGCCTTTCCATCCTTGGCACGTTGGCTGGGCCTGCCCTGGACTTTGGACATGACCTTTTGGTATCTGACAAGTGGGGAGAAGGCACTGGAGGGCTTAGAAATGACTTAATGAAGGAGAGGCAGAGCCCAGGGGGTTGGAGAGGGGAGAGAAATGCCTTCATGGAGGGGGAAAAGTCAGAAGGCCACTTTTGCTGGGTGGGATAGGAGGGAGGGAAGATCCCTAAATCTCCCCAGAGGTTGAGACCATTTCCAATCTTGGAAATCATACCTATTTCTTCCATCTAAGTAGAGAAGTATGTTTTCCATGGCCCCTGCCTGGCTCGTGAGATTCCCCACATGGGGGCTGGAGAGGTTACTGCCATCATCCTTAATGAACTGATGGGGGATTCAGAGGGCCGAGTCACCTGTGTCACACAGAGAAGAGGTTCAGTCTCCAGGCCACCAGCCCTGCCCTAGGATGGTCCCGGAAGGGGTCCTGTCCCAGCCTCTTCCCAGAGTCCTGGGTCCGTGGGACACTGCCGTTTTCGTTGTGAGGCTCTGAGCCTCTGACTATGCCTGGCGGTGGCTCACTATGAGCCTTTGCCCAACCGTCCCCTAACCCCAGCTTTAATCAACCCTTCTTCTTTCCCTGGGGCCCAGGGCACGGCCACAGTCACATGGTGTGCAGGGCCAGTGCTGGGATTTGAGCGCAGGTTGTGTGCTGCAGGAGCTCGCCCTCAGGAATTTGGGCTAATGACAGCTGCTGCTGCCCTGTCCGCACCCCCCCTCTCCCAGCCCTCTGCTGATTACAAATAAACACCCGGTCTACACGGGAGAGTAATTAACTCTCCAATGTGGGGAGGACTAATCAGCCTGGAGTTTGCTGCAGGTGGGAAAAGCGAAGGCTTTTCCTAAGTAGTATGCAAATGAACCTGTAGTATGCAAACGAACCTCTCTTGCTCCTGGGAAAGGCTGTCAGAGCCGGAAGCACTGCTGCTTACACGGACAGGCTCTGGGAACATGGCCCAGCTACAGGGGCTTGGGCTTTTAGGTTTGGGGGGTTGGGAGGCCAGACTAGGAATAGGGGTAGGGCTCACCTTGAGGGTCTCCAGCACACCTGCAGCCCTTGCAGAGGACACACTGGGGATGGCAGAGGGGAAAACAGGTATGGGGCTTGGAGAAGTGGCTCTGAATCTGAATACCACTGTCCTCACCTGGGTGACCTTGGTGTCTGTCACCGTGCTCTTACTCTGCTGCAGAGGTCATAGAGTTCTTATTGCCATGGGTGGAGCCACGGCATCCAAGTGGCCTGGCTTGCTGAGGGTCTGCATGAAGGACAACTGCTCTGGAGAGTCACCCAGACCCACAACAGATAGGCTTTGCAGGAGTGGAGAGTAACCCTTTGTGGTGTTAAGTTCCTGCAATGTAGTCGTTACTGCAGCATAACCGAGCTTATCCTGACCGATACAGAAGAGGTTAACCCCGTGAGAGAATGATTATTATGTGAACATTGCTGTCATCACAGTCTTAATCACCCTCCCCTCCTCCCTCTACCTTTTCTGGGCTGTCGTTGTCTCTGACAACGGTCCTTATAGAAGCCTTCTGGCAACACCACCCATAGCGAGTCCCGGTGGAACTGTCCAGGGTCCTGTCTTCGGCCTGAGATCACCATTGCCCAGACTTTCACCGGTTCTGTGCCTTAGGGCTGGGCACCCAGGAATCTGAAATAAAAAACATCCAGATGTACCTTTGGAGAGCTTGCATGCTGCTGCAGAGGCAGACATAGAAATAACTCCAGGACTGAGCAGGCCATGAGGCCCCATGGACACCCAGAAACGAGCAGCAGGTAAGAGGAGAGTCACCCCAGTGCAAGAATCTTGGGAGACTTCTCAGAGGAGGAGGCAGGAGGTGGCAGCAGCGACTCACCTCCTCGGTGCTCATCAGCTCCTCTCACAATTCAGGTGTGGGTCCCAGCTCCTCTACCCCTCATCATGTAGCCTTGGTGCACAGTGGAATCTTCCTTCCTAAAACCTTAGTTTTCTCATCTGTGGAATAGGACTATAAAAGCACATCTTCATGGGATTATTGCAATGGCCGAGTGGCCGAGTGGATTAGTATGTGTGAGGTGCTTTGCTCAGTGCCTGGCATGCAGTAATGTTCAGTAAAGAGTTGTTCTTATGACCTCATTTGGCCTTTGCAAAAACCCTGTGAAAGAATAGAAATAACTAGTGTTGGCCAGGCGTGGTGGCTCATGCCTGTAATCCCAGCGCTTTGGGAGGCCAAGGCAGGCTGATCACCTGAGGTCAGGAGTTCAAAACCAGCCTGACCAACATAAAGAGACCCCATCTCTACCAAAAATGCAAAATTAGCCAGGCATGGTGGTGCATGCCTGTAATCCCAGCTGCTCGGGAGGCTGAGGCAGGAGAATCCCTTGAACCTGGGAGGTACAGGTTGCAGTGAGCCAAGATCATGCCACTGCACTCTAGCCTGGGCAACAAGAGTGAAACAGTCTCAAAAAGAAATAAAGAAAGAAAAGAAAAGAAATAATAGTGTTATGTCTGTTTCACAGATGAGAAAACAGGCTCAGAAAGGGTGAGCGACTTGCCTAAAACCACACAGTTAAGAGCTGGCTAGGTGTGGCCTGGAAGCTGCACCTGCCTAGCTCTGAGCCCACATTCATTGTGCTGCTTGGGGTTAGCATTTGTGTCCTCAGACCTAGGGTCTCACTGGATTCTTCAGGCCTGGCCGTATCCCTCACGCTTTCCAGGTCTCGAACCCCCAGCCTGACCCTTTGAGCCCCCACTATTTTTTTGTCTGATAAAATATGCCTACCATACAACTGACCATTTTAACCATTTTAAGGTGCATTTCAGTGGCATTAAAAACATTCACATTGTTGTGCATCCATCATCACCATCCGTCTCCAGAATTGCTATCATTTCTTACTGAAACTCTATACCCATTAAACCATAAGCCCTCCCCACCACCCTGATAGCCACCATCTCATTCTATTCTAGGCACCTTTTTTTTCCCCTTCAATTGTATTCAGTGACATGATCTCATCTCACTGCAAGCTATGCCTCCTGAGTTTTAGCGATCCTTATGCCTCAGTCTCTGGAGTCGCTGGGATTATAGGCACTCACCACCACACCCAGCTAATTTTTTATATTTTTGGTTTCACCACGTTGGCCAGGCTGTTGAACTTTTGACCTCAAGTGATCCACCTGCCTTGGCCTCCCAAGGTGCTGGGATTACAGGTGTGAGCCACCAAGCCCGGTGGTACTTTGCATAAGTGAAATTATGTGTCCTTTTGTGACTGGCTTACTTCACTTAGCATAATGCCCTCAGAGCTCATCCATAGTATAGCATAGATTAGAATATCCTTCCTTTATAAAGTGGACTAATATTTCATTGTATGGACAGATCACATTTTATTTATCCATCCAGTGATGAACCGTTAGATTATTTCTACCTTTGGCCATTGTGAATAAGGCTGCAACGTACATGGGTGTACAAAGTCACCACTTTCTTGAGACCTCCTTGGGTCTCTCCCCAAGAGCTTTGCCAGGATCCACAGGTTCCAAAGTGCCCATGATCTAGGAACCAGGGCCCGCCCAGCCCATTACCTGCCCAGCCCATCACTGGCTGCTTTGCTTCCCCCGAGCTCTGTGCCTTGTGCCTTTGCTTTCCCTGCCTGGTATGTCTTTCCCCAGCATCTCCATCATCCGAAGTCATTCACTCATCAAGGCTCATCTTGAATGTCCCCTGCCCCCATGCATAGCCTTCTCTTCCTGGTGCTGTCCCTACCCCTAGCCCCCACCTTCTGTCTCTGATTATTACCTCACTTAGGTCTCTGATTATTTTAAACCTTGGACTAGTGTTACCTGTGCCTGCCCCTTCTTCCAGAATAGGGAATTTCCTTCAGAATATTTTTGGGAGGACCGGGCCAGTGGCTCATGCCTGTAATCTCAGCATTTTGGGAGGCTGTGGTGGAAGGATCCCTTGAGGCCAGAAGTTTGAGACCAGCCTGAGCAACATAGCAAGACACCCATCTCTTAAATAAGAATTAGCTGGGCCAGGCATGGTGGCTCATGCCTGTAATCCCAGCACTTTGGGAGGCCGAGGCAGGTGGATCATGAGGTCAGGAGTTTGACACCAGCCTGGCCAACATGGTGAAACCCCATCTTCACTAAAAATACAAGATTATCTGGGTATGGTGAAACATACCTGTAATCCCAGCTACTCAGGAGATCAAGGCAGGAGAATCACTTGAACATGGGAGGCAGAGGTTGCAGTGAGCCAAGATTGCACCATTGCACTCCAGCCTGGGCAAAAAGAACAAAACCCCATCTCAAAAAATAAGAAGAAGAAGAAGAATTATTATTAGCTGGGCATGGTGATGCATGCCTGTAGCTGCTCAGGAGGCTCAGGTGGGAGGATTGCTTCAGGCCAGGAGTTTGTGGTTATAATGAGCTATGATCACTACTGTACTCCAGCCTGGGCAACAGAGTGAGACCCTGTCACTGAAGGAAAAAAAGAATATTGCTAAGATGGGCTTCTCTTGACTATAAGGCAAAAATGAAAAAATGAGAGTCCTCTTTCTTTGAAATGCATCTATCTTAAGTGAATAAAACCAGTCCCTTGTGCCAGTGAAATGAATTACAGGTAGTCTGGCTTCCTGAGTCTTGTTACACTTTCTTTTTCAAGTTAGATAAGACAGCCACTTGCCAGAGAAGCATCCTTCAAATCCCGACCCTGCCCCTTCCTGGCTGTGTGGGACCAAGCAAGTTACTTTATTTCTGGGCACCTCAGTGTGCCCATCTATGAAATGGGCATAGTAATATAATCCACCTCACATGATTGTGACAAGAAGAATTGTTTGAACTTAGGAGGTAGAGGTTGCAGTGAGCTGAGTTCACACCACTGCACTCCA